TGGAATTGGGCCAAGCCCAGTTGAACGACTTCATCGTACACCCCTCCGTTTTTTCCAACTGTACCCCCTCTGTTTTTATTTTTGTTTAGTGAATATTTTTTTGTATAGAAAATTATGTATATTATTTTCATTTGAATATTATATACTATTTCTCTTTATAAAAGTTCATAGTATTTTATAATTCTTTTAGAATATATTATATACTTTTTTTTTATAGAATTTATATTTTTATTATAATTTCTTTTTATATATAGATTTTATATTCTATTTTATTCTCTTTTCCTTTTAATTTCTTTAGAAATTTATTAGGAGTTTATTAACTTTTGAATTTGAATTCTTATTTCCATTGGATTATTTTTCTCACCATTTCTTTTTGTAAGTCGATGACGAGACCTCCGTAATGCGTTATTAATCAACTTGTTGAGGGATAATGTAGGATCCGAGACCGTTTTTTCTCTCATCGTCTTTTCTTCTTCTTCTGATTTTATTCTGCTTTTCTGTTGTGTTGGCCGTGTGACATGATTTAATCGGAGAATGATTCTCAATATCATTTCTCCATCTTGTCTTTGACATGGGTATCAATACATTACCTCTTGGGGTTTGACTTCTTTTATAAGTCGAATTACGACGGTCCAGCGTCACATTGGTTCTGGTTTGAAATGTCATCACCAAGGACTGAAAGAGGAAAGCTTGGAAATGGAGCTTGCACGCACAAGTCAAGGGTCAACGGAACCACTCCGTTCGGTAACTGTTTTTATTTCACTTCTTTTATCTCTTTCTTTTCACCCTTCGAGCGCTGTGAGCCGTAAGCTTTAGATACGTGGGAAATAATGAGTGGGTGGCTGCCTCTCACTCGTCTAGGGTGTTTAGCATATGTCCTTTGGATAATATGCGACGCATTCGCTCCTACGTCTAGGACTTTGCGTGTGCGTCCCGTTCCAAACCTTTTCTCTCGCGTCCTGGCGATTGAGACTTCCCTTTTCTCTTGCGTCCTGGCGATTGAGACCTCCCCTTTTCTCTCACGTTCTGGAGATTGAGTTCCCTTCTCTTGCCTCTGTGCAATCGAGATTGTTTCCTGTAGTTAGCCGAACTACGACTGCTCTGATCTCTCATTCCCGTTGAGAGTACGTAGGCATAGGATTGCGATAATCCTAGCGAGCACTTTTCCCCCTTTCCTGTAGTTGGCCGAACTACAACTGCTCTAATTTCTCGTACCAGACGAGAATATGTAGACATAGGATGCGATATCCTAGCGAGCACACTAACAACTAACTTCTCTGTTCTCTCACTGCCGTGCGATCGAGACTTCCCCGCTGACGACTAATCTTTCCCTTTCTCTTGCCCTAGTGCAATTGAGACCAGACCGTAGTTCTAGTTCCCGTAGGTTCCCGTACCTTTAAACCCCAACATACTACATCTGTTCTACCGCAAACAGGTAACGCCTAAGTCTCCAATGGTCGAGCAACAATACACCTAACTGCTAGAATGCGTACACTAGTATCGTCAACCTTTTCTCTCACCCCCGTGTGATCGAGAACACCCTTGTTTACCCGTAGTTAGCCTGAACTACGTTTTGCTCTGATTTCTCATGCCATATGAGAATACGTAGGCACAAGATGCGACGTCTTGGCGAGCAATCTCCCCCCGTAGTTCCCCGAACTACGTTGACTATGACTTTCCCATTGCACGAGGGAATACGTAGGTGTAGAGAGCGATGCTCTATCGAGTCAGTTCTTTCCGTTTAGCTTTAGCAGCCGTAGATAGATTGTTTTTCACCCATAGACTAGACAAAACAAGCGTGGATCCCGTCGAGTACGACAGACGTGAGGGGTGCTCATACCTTCCCCTTGCGTAACCGACTCCCGAACCCAGACATGGTTGCGATGACCTTGTCTTTCCCTTCTTCTTTAGGTTTTTGCAATCGTTTCCTTTCCCTCTCTTTGGGATAAATAACGAAAGTGGCGACTCTTCTGTTTTTTCCGCCGGTTGTTTTTCGCAGTAGCGACACATATTAAAGAAATCATTAAAGAAATGTGGATATGAAAATTTGAAATAGAACGGGACAAATGAAAAATTTTCTACATTGGAACTAAAGTTGATTGGAAAGTAAATTAAATGTTTTTTTTACGGTGGTTCAGAACTTCCAATGTGGTGAAGAAGGAGATGATCTACAAGATTTGCACTCTAACACTTAAGTCAATATAAGATTAAAAAGTGGTGTTTGAATGAAAAAGACATTAAATATCGGTGAAGTGATGTATTTTACTTAGAGGGGTCAAACAAGCCCTATATAGCAAAACCCTAATATTTAGGCCCCTTATTGGCCCCCTTTTTTAAGCCCCCTACTACATAAATATTTTTTTGGCCCCTTATTTTTAAACCCCCTCATATTTTTGCTTTTTATGGGACCTAATTAAGGGCTCAAAATCTAAATAGTTTCAAAATCTAATTAGTTTGAAACAAAATATTTTAGTGTTTTAATTATTCTTTTTTACAAAATAAATATTTTTAAAAATTAATTTTTTCTAAAAATATAAATAAATAATATTTTTCAAAAAATCTAATTTTTTTCATTAAAAAAGTCGGCGTTTTCCAAAAATAAAAAAGTCAATCTTTTTTCAAAAAAATGACCGATTTTTTTCAAAAATAAAAAAGAATCGACTTTTTCAAAGGTAAAAAAGTCGAGTGTTTTTCGAAAAAAAAAGTCTATTTTATTTTTGAAAAAAGGCCATTTTTTTAAAAAAAAAGTCGACTTTTTCAAAAATAAAAAGTCAATTTTTTCCAAAAAATTAAGTCTGTTTTTTCCAAAAATAAAAAATATATAGTTTTTTCTGAAAAAAATTGATTTTTTTCGAAAGTTAAAAATAGTTGATTTTTTTCGAAAATGAGAAAAAGTCATTTTTATTCGAAAATTTAAAAAAATCATTTTTTTTCATAAATTGAAAAAATTTGTTTTTTTTTTAAAAATAAAATCGATTTGTTTGGAAAATAAAAAGAAATCGATTTTTTCAAAAGTTCAAAATAGTAGTTTTTTTAACAAAAAAAATTGATTTTTATCGAAAATAAAAATAGTCGAATTTTTTATAAAATAAAATCTATTTTTCTATAAAAAATTGATTTTTTGACAAATAAAAAAATTGATTTTTTCTAAAAAAACTTCTATTTTTTCGAAAGTTCAAAATAGTCGATTTGTTTCTATAGTTAAAAATAGTTGATTTTTTTTCGAAAATAAAAATGGTCGAGTTTTTTTGAAAATAAAAGAAAATTTATGTTTTTCTGAAAAAATGTCATTTTTTCGTAAAAAAATAAAACAAATCTGAAATAATATAGTCGATATTTCTTAAAATGTAAAAGTTAATTCTTTTTGAAAGTTAAAAATAGTTGATTTTTTCAAAAGTCTAAAAAAAAACTAATTTTCTTTTCCATTTTTTCTGAAAAAAAAGTCATTTAAAAAAGTTGTTTTTTTCTCAAAAGAATTAATTTTTTTAAAATGTTGAAACTTTGAGATATTTCTTAAAATTGAGGGGCCTTTAGTTCAAGGAACCTATTTATTTTAAGATTCATTTATTTGATTCTTAAAATTTTGAGCCTCTATATTTTAAGAATCTTAAAATTTAGGCTCAGCCGTCTAATTTGACTGTTCTAATTTTACTTATTAAATAGGACAAATGATTGATAATTACCCGTTTGTGGAATGACATGATGATGTGTGATCAACCATTAAATTGATCAAGATGGTTAAATCATTCACATCCATCATACCCATTTATGTTTTTTAAATAGGTCTCACTTATTTTTTTATATTATATTACACTTTTAAATTATTTAAACAACTCAATTACATTTTTTTAAATATTTATACAACTCATAAAATTTGTAAAATGGGTCCCACTAAATACCACAAATATCTTATATTAAATCTTTTTACAATCATTTTCAATTAAATAATTAATTAAATGCATGACATTTGTAGGAACGTTGTTTAATGTGACAACGATTGCAAATTGAAGAATGATATTATTATGCAATTATCCATCATTTTCTGACACAATTACTTTGATAATAGTGTAGGAACCATATATTTGTACAGATAATGATGCTCTTAGTATGACTTATTCTTGTGAGGGATTGTTGACTATATGGAAAAAAAATATCTACCTATTCCGTGTTTAGTAACTCTCCACTTCATCATTGAATTTTTTTTTTTTTTTTAATTTTGCAGAATAAATTGTCCTGAAAGAAATGTAGATGAGTAGAACTTAAAGTATGTGAGAAAGAAAGAGAATAATATTTGTCTAAATCTAAAGTTGAGGAAAGAAAAATACTTTTAAGATACATGACATCTCTGAAATGAAATTTCTCTATATTAAGTAAAAAGTTACACAACAATGTGTCCTTTTATCGACTAAACGAGTTGGGAATTTATTTATAATATTAGTATCCAAGTTTTTTTTGGTAATTGTGTATATTCACCAATATTTTAGCATCATTTAACACTAACACGTGTTGGTATAATTATAATTTGCCCATCATTGATGCTTTAGTACTTGCCTAAGTAGATTAAACAAACTAGCTAGTAGATTCATTTGACAAGCTAGTATTAAGAGTAATCAACAAAACAGATCACACATACAGTAATCAAACCATAGCTCAATCTCTTTTAATTAGTGGTTATATATATCTACTCATGTTTTGTCATCTCAAATAAAAGTGAACAACTTTGAAAGAAAAACAGAAAAATAGAATAGTACTGTACTGTTAAATATGCATACACCAAAAGTTAATATTCATCATAAAATTAGAACTTAGAAGTAAGAGAGATCGCATTACAGGTTTATAAAGTTGTTTCCCATGCAAATAGTACTCTAACTAATCAGAAGAGAAATGACATATACACACAAAACATAATTAATAGGCACTAACAGTTTTCAACAGAAATTAAGTAAAACAATATAATACTATATGAATGATTCAGTTTCAACATTTAACACTCACATCTCCTACTTGTTGCCACCACCAAATCCACCACCGCCACCCGCTCCAATACCTGCACCAACCCCAATGCCGCCTCCTCCCCCAAAACCACCGCCTCCGCCACCGCCACCGCCAATTCCTCCTCCAAGACCTCCGCCTGCACCACCTCCGCCCCCAAAACCTCCTCCTCCGCCTACACCAGCTCCACCCCCACCACCTATACCACCTCCACCACCTGCTCCTCCACCAATGCCATGGCCTAATCCACCTCCGCTGCCAATGCCACCGCCACCTCCTGCTCCACCACCAATCCCGCCTCCTGCCCCACCACCAATGCCACCTCCAACACCATGACCAAGCCCACCGCCACTGCCAAGTCCACCTCCTCCTCCGAGCCCACCACCTGAACCTCCACCAATACCGCCACCAACACCATGACCAAGTCCACCACCGGCACCTCCACCAAGTCCCCCTCCACCTCCACCTCCTAGTCCCCCACCCCCACCTGCTCCTCCGCCAATGCCACCACCAAGACCGTGCCCGAGTCCACCACCACCACCAAGTCCCGCTCCACCTCCACCTCCTAGACCGCCACCTGCACCACCACCAAGTCCACCTCCACCTCCTAGACCGCCACCTGCACCACCACCAAGTCCACCTCCACCTCCTAGACCACCTCCACCTCCTAAACCACTCCCACCACCAAGACCACCTCCACCTCCTAAACCACCACCACCTCCTGCGCCTCCACCAATGCCACCACCAGCACCAAGTCCTACACCACCTCCTGCACCTCCACCAATGCCACCACCTAGTCCTAAACCTCCACCTCCACCAGCACCAATACCACCACCACCAAACTTACCATGTTTAAATCTTGGACCTAACAAATGTGGCGGACGAATCAAATGCTTATCATCCTCAACCTGTCTACCATCCGCCAGTTCAAACAAACCACCAACAAGTAGTACATTACATAGAACAAACGCAACCACAACAAAATCAATGCAAAAACCTCTCATCATAATTTAACTTATCGAACAAATCTCTAGTAGTATTTAAGTACTAGTGAATATAATATGAGTGAGGTTGTTATATATATTATATACTGAACGACCAACCAAGTGAAGTTTCATTTAATTTCTCAACTGCCACATTTGAAAGACCAGTAAATGGGACTCAGCTGTCGTTAGTTGTATGGACAATAAATATTTTCAACACTCCTTACTATTTTCCTTTCAATTCAACCACGCTCCATCTGTTTCAGTGTTGAATGCTGATCTCTAAAAATAAACTCATGGTTGCTTTTCTTTTCATTACGCAAACATGGTTTTCCCTTCAACTTATTTGGCCATTTGCATTAACTTCACCATGGGTGGGGCCTATCAGTCCAGTAAGCTTCTGCTATATTCATTAATGGCTTCCACTGATAAGCATTCAATTCTCCACCAAATTGCTCAACTCAACTCTACTATTGGTGCCAGTATTCTATTCTATGGGATCATAGTGTGTCATGGGATGGATTTTATTTTAATGAAAAAAAAAGTTTTTAAGGTTTAAAATGAGTTATAAATATGATTTGATCCATTGAATTAATAAAGTGTTAGGCTTATTTGTTAGTGTTAGTGGTATATAGTTCAAAGAAATTTCTAGAGAGGTGTAAAATAAGATTAGGAGTCATAATAATAAATGTAAATAGTAGAGAAGTGTGTAAAATTAATTTTCTCTTGAAGTGTATATAATATTCAGAATATATATAGAAAATCCTCTTATAGCCTATAAATAGGAAAAAACTTTTAATTTGTAAACCAAACTAGTGAAAACAAGTAACAAGCTACTAGAAGCAAGTAAAGAAGCTTGTAAAACATTCTTTCAATAGAAATTATCATTCTTTCAAATAGTATCTCTTTCCAATTCTTCACAAAATTTCAATATAGTTTTTTTCCCTTTTTCAATAAAGCGATATCAGAGCTTAGGTTTTGATAACAGTTCTTTCTATGGTCATGGAAAACAATGGATAAACATCCTTTTAAGTCTCACTTCTCAATAAAAATACTTATGATAATTAGTATATCATAATGAAAATTCTTTTTGGACCACAAATGTTTTGGAGGATGTTGAAAAATATTATAAAGAATCACAAAATGAGGATTCCTTAACTTAAGCATAAAAAATGTTTTAAAGAATTCAAGAAAGAGAAAAAAAGTTATTTTCCTCATTTATCAAGTATTAGATGAATATGAGTTTGAGAAAATCTTAAATACAACATCTGCTAAAGAGACGTGGAAGAAACTCCAAACATTTTGGTTTTGTGAAGACAGAGTAATTAAAGAGAGTGTGTTATCAAACTTTAAGAGTTGAGTTTGAATTCTTGCATATGAAAGAGTCAAAGTCTATTTTCGAATATTTTCGAGATTTATCATTATTTCAAATCAATTAAAAAAAATGGTGCAAAATTATAAGATGTGAGAATTATGGAGAAGATACGCCACTCATTAAATCCCGGATTTAGAGTATATTATTATTATTATTTTAAATCTTGGTATCCGACCTTGCGACCGACTAATCCAAGAGGACCAATCCCACCGTCCACTAGCGGAAGTCTTGTTTAAAGCCAGAGTAAAACTCTGTATGGACTGGCCCAACACATAGATTGATTGCACCTAACAGAATTCGAACCAGAGACCTTGAGAGGAACACACTCTCAAGACCCAAGCCTCCACCACTAGACCAACCCTTGGGGTTGTTTAGAGTATATTATTGTGATAATCGAGAAAACAAAAGATTTATAGACTATGACAATATAGCAACTTCAAGGATCATTACTAGCTTATGAGGAGAAACACAAGAAGAATATTATGAATCGATGTCGTCAAGAACAAATTAAAATATGAGAAAGATTGAGTTTCTTGAACAAACACAAGAAACCCTATTAGGTTTTACGAGAGAGAGAGAGAGAGAGAGAGAGAGAGAGAGAGAGAGAGAGAGAGAGAGAGAGAGAGAGAGAGAGAGAGAGAGAGAGAGAGAGAAGAAGGAAGGAGAAGAATAAGAATTGGCTAAAAGTGTTTTACTATTCACTTTCTCAATAAGGGTTCAAAGATTACAAGTGAATAACAATAATTAACCTCTCTCAAAAACTTGAGAAAACTAGTTTATTTATACACTACTAAGCTAACTTAGACTACAAATTAATTTAACAATTGGACTTACAAGCAATATCTAATTCGACATGTTAACTTAAACACAAAGCTAACATATTTCGACAACATGCTTGAACAGACTTCGACTACAACATACACAACTCCTGTCGAACCATGAAGCTACCATTGTCGACACTATAGTTCGATCCAAATACCTCAAATAAGAAAGAAATCACATAAAAAATATTCAAGATGCAACTAAAGGAGAATGAAGAAACTCAAAGAAATGAGATATGCCAACAACGTTAAGGTAGAGGTCAAGGACAAGGTTGCGATCGAGGATATTTTGGACGTGATAACTATTGACAAGTTTCAAATTTCACTAGAGAAGGTTATAAGAGAGGAGAAACCTCAACAAGAGGATGTGGGAGAGGATACATAAACATAAGGAGTCATAAATCTCAAAGTCAATGCTACAATTGTCAGAAATTTGACCATTACGCTTCATAATGTAGATCTTTCAAGAATAAAGTCTAAGAGAAGACCAACTATGCAAAAGGAAAGAATGAGAAGTTTGAAATAGTGCTGCTAGCGCATGTAAATAATGAAGGAAACCAAGAGAATTCGTAGTACCTTGTCACTGGTGCAAGCAACCATATATGTGGAAAAAGGATCATGTTCATAGAACTTGATGAATCAATCAATGGGAATGTCTCATTTGGAGATGATTCTAAGGTTCTAGTGAAACATAAAGGTAATATATTAAATCGTTTAAAAATGGAAGGCACAAATTTATTTCAAATGTTTATGATGTTCAAAACATGAAGAACAATATTTTAAGTTTGAGACAACTTTTAGAAAAGAGCTATGATATTCACATGAAATATTTATGTCTCTGCATCAAAGATGTAAAGAATAAATTGATCATAAATGTACAAATATCGAGGAATATGATGTTCTTATTGAATATTCAAATCAACATGGCAAAATCTCTCAAAGCGTGCTACAATGATGCGTCGTGGATTTGGCATCTTCGATTTAGCCACTTAAATTTTTTAGGCCTAAGTTTGAAGTAAAAAAAAAAGATATGGTGAGAGGTTTAACACTAATCAATCATCCAGATCAGTTGTTCGAAGGATGCTTACTTGGAAAAAAAATTAGTGCAATTTTTCCAAAGAAGTCAAGCTCAATAACCTAGAAGCCACTTGAGCTTATACATGTTGATATGTGTGGGCCAATGAAGCCAAGTTCACTAGGAAAAAACAATTATTTCCTTCTTTTCATTGATGATTTTTCAAGAAAAACTTGAATTTATTTCTTGAAGCAGAAACCGGAAGTCTTTACTACCTTTACAAAGTTCAAATTTGTTGTGGATAAAGAAAGTGGTCGAGAGATAAAAGTTATGCGAACATGCTAAATAGGTGAATTCACTTCAAAGGAGTTTCAAGAATTCAGTGAGGAGAATGAAGTTAGACGTCCACTAGCAATTCCAAGATCCCCCAACTAAACGGAGTTGCAGAAACAAAAATAGAACAATTTTTGACATGGCTCGAAGCATGCTTAAAAGTAAGAAACTATCAAAAAAACATTTTTGGAAAAGACACTGCAAGAAGCATGGAGTGGAAGAAATCATGGTATCTCACATTTGAAGGTCTTCGGAAGTGTAGCTCATGTTCACATTCCAAATGAGAAAAGAACCAAACTTGAAGACAAGAGCGAGAAATTCATCTTCTTCGATTATGATCAAAGCTCAAAGGCTACAATTGTAAAACCCAAGCAAAAATAAGGTTGTAATCATCCGAGATGTATAACTTTGGTACTTAGAAAAAGGAATATAGTTTCTTTATAGAATTTGAAGAAGAAACATCTAGAGAAGTTTAACAAGAGTCTCACTCACCAACATCACCCACTTATGAAAACACTACAAGTTAAAGAGGAATGACACTTACATAAAGTCGTTAAGATATTTATGATAACACCGAGGCATTATCACCATGAAGGCTTGAAGACTTCTACAAAAAAGACAGGGAAATGGACAATATTATTTTGTTTTACCCCTTTGCAGATAGTGAACCCATCAACTTTGAAGAAGTTACACAAGGTAAAAGATGGAAAGATGCAATGGATGAAGAAATAAAATCCATTGAGATGAATGATACATGATAACTTGACTCCCAACCAAAAGGGAATAAGGCCATTAGTCTCAATTGGGTGAACAAGGCAAGAAGAATTTTAATAGAGAAATTGAGAAATGCAAAGCAAGGCTAGTTGAAAAGGGCTACACTCAAAATACTGGGATTGACTATGATGATGTATTTGCTCCAGTCGCTCGCTTAGAAACCATAAGACTAATAATATATCTAGTTGCCCAAAAAAGTGGAAAATCCCCCAAATACATGTGAAGTATGCTTTCTTGAATGGAGTTTTAGAGGAATAAGTTTGCATCGGACAACCTTTGGGTTACAAAGAGAAAGACAAGAAGATAAACTTTTTCGAATAAAAAAGGAATTATATGGGTTAAAGAAGCCCTATGAGCATGGTATAGTCAAATTGATAACTACTTCAAAGCAGATAAATTCACGAAGTCGACACATGGAAAATCAAACTATTACTTATCTCAAGGCTGTAAAAAGAATTCTTCATTATATCAAGAGTACGATGTGCTTTGGCTTATGGTTCTCGTCAGATAAGGACTATAAACTAGTTAGTTATAATGGCATTGATTAGGCTGGAGATAGAGATGATCAGAAGAGTACTAGCGACTTTGTGTTCTTCATGGGAAATATAACTTTCACTTGGATGTCGAAAAAGCAACCAATTGTCATACTTTCAACTTGTGAAGTAGAATACGTAGCAATTACATCATGTGTCTGTCATGTCGT